GCCGAGGCCCCTCTCCAGCAGGTCCCCCCCAAGCCTGTACTGGTGCATGGGGTTGTTCCTCCCCAGGTGCAGGACCCTGCATTTGCCTTTGGTGAACCTCATCAGGTTCCTCTCTGCCCAGCTTTCCAGCCTATCCAGGTCACGCTGAATGGCAGCACAGCCTGCCGGTGTATCCACCACACCTCCCAGTTTGGTGTCGTCAGCAAACTTGCTGAGGGTACATTCTAACTCTTCATCCAGGTCGTTGATGAAGAAGTTAAACAAGACTGGGCCCAGCACTGACCCTGGGGGACACAACTTGTTACCAGTCTCCAACTAGACAAACCTGAGTGTGTTTGCAGCTTAATCTCAGCAGCTACAGCATGGTGTCTGGACCACCCTCCCCTTTTCCTTTGTATGATGTGGTAATGCCAGAACACAGGCTGTGCATTTTATACACATAATATCTTCAGCAATGTGACTTTTGGACAGACTTCAGTCAGAGCAAGCTATTCAATGTACACGACCCCTCGAAATTCCTTGTTTCGGCAAGGGATAGGAGGCTTCTTGCTCTCTGCAAGCACCCTGCGGGTATCTCTGTAGGGGAGGGGGTTCACCCTTGGATACCTGAAAGATGAAGCTTGGCTTTTTGCAAAGGTGCAAAGCTCCGTAGGTGGGCATTGCAAACCCTCCTGCTGCCAGATCCACAGCCCGGAGCTGTCTAGGGACCAGGAGCTGGGGATGAAATGGGGCAGACGCAGCTGGGAACGGGGGGAGCCTCCTAGCAGATATGACTCGTGTGCTGGGGGGCCACTTAACCACTCAAAACCAGAGGGCAGAATCCCAGGGACAGCAGGGAGGAGTGGACAGTGCAGGAGGAGGGATGAGCACTGGGCAAACACAGGGCACGTCACTGCAGAGGAGGGGACAAACCTGCTCTCGCCACCCACGACAGCCAGCTCAGCTTGCAGCTCGCACTGGGACAGTCACCTGTCCTAAGGCATATGCAACGGGCATGGGGGTTTCAGGACGTTGCCTCCTGTCCCTGCACAGCAACCTGGCTGGCTTCGCTGGAGCAGGGCTCCTCATCTACCTGGCGTGCCTCTGCGGTGAGTGGCTCTTACGTGGGGAAGGAGCATCCTAGGAGAAAGAAGGGGCCGGAGATCTGCAGGAACGGAGGGGACTGGGCTTGCAGATGGATGGGGCAAAGCCTCCTTTGACCCACCAGCCTTTAAAAGGAAGAGAAATTTGTGGATGGGGAAGGAGATCTCTTTAACTGGGTAATTATCCTGGCCTCTGTGCTGCTGCCCTTGCACAGACGGTTGGGAAATACTTGGAGCCTTACCAACCAGTGACAGTCGATTCGAAGAGAGAGCCGGTAACAACCCACAAGACCAGAAATTCTGTATTTGTGTTGGCCACCTCTTCAGGGCCGGCCAGTTCGTTTGCAAAGGGCACAAAGTCCTCTTCCCCCCCCCGCCAGTGCAAACAGGAGCATTTATTCTGCTCTGCGCCCTGCAGACATGAAGGCTTTCCCGGAGGTGACCAACTGTGCTGCCAGTGGGATGCCAAGGTGCTGTTGTTATTTTTTCCTGCCTCTGCCTGCCTCCTTTTGCATCCCCTTCTCGAGGAGATGCTGCAGCCTTTACCCAGACCCTAACCCAGGCATCCCACCGCAGCTTGGCCGCTCCAGCGCTTACTGCCACCGTGATTAAACACCTCATCTTTAGCTTTCTTGCCCGTTTCAGCCCGTGTAATGCCTTCCTCTAAGATGCAGCTCTACTTGGCTAGGGGCCATGGGCCAATTTGCTGTGCAGGCTCCCTATCACCTCATGCAAATCGCTAATTAAAGCACCAGCTTGCACACAGACAGACCCCCCTTTACGTCAGACAGCTGGCAGCTACTCCCTACTTACAGTTTCCCCGAGTTTTCAATCCAGCTGGCAGTGCTTTCCCTTTAATTTATTGCAAATACTAAGCAAAAAAAATATCTAAAGCCCCTTTAAAGATAATTATCTTCCAAAAAGGGGGTTTGCTGAGCATTTTTTTTCCTGGACTTGGATTTTTTTGTGGGGGGGGGGGTTAGTCTTTGAGCCAAAGGAGAAGCACATCCATGGTTCACATAAGCCACTGCCGTTTGCAGAGGCTCCATGAAGCTTGTGCAAGCGACGCAGCCTTTCCTGGTGCTGCTCTTCTGCACTGGACCCTCTCTGTATCCCTGTTGCAGACCTGGTTGCTTGCCAGTGGGTTCCCATCCGCCTGTCAGACGGCCTGCACCGCTGCACCGGCAGGGTCGAGGTCTTCTATCAGAACCAGTGGGGAACGGTGTGCGACGACAACTGGGACCTGGAGGATGCTGGCGTGGTGTGTCGGCAGCTGGGCTGCGGCACGGCGGTGTTAGCCCCTGGAGCCGGGCATTTCAGTGCAGGGTCCGGTCCCATCTGGCTGGACGACGTCAACTGCACGGGGACGGAGGTCGCCCTGTCTCACTGCACGGCGAAGGGCTGGGGGAAGAACAACTGCCATCACGGTGAAGATGCCGGCGTGGTGTGCTCAGGTAATGCCCTGCAGAAATTACGGGGTGAGGGGACACGATGACAAAGCAATTCCCTCGCAAGGAATGTTGTCCCCGCCAATTTTCCCACAGCTCCCTGTGGCACAGAGCACCCATGGCTCCAGCAAGGGATGGTTCTGTGGTTTGTCCCATACAAGGGATGGTTCTGTGGTTTGTCCCATACAAGGGATGGTTCTGTGGTTTGTCCCATACAAGGGACTGCAGGCTAGGGAGAAATTACAGAATCACAGAATGGTAGGGGTTGGAAGGGACCTCTGTGGGTCATCTAGTCCAACCCTCC